ATAATATAATCGGATATATATGTTCAAACTAAAATTTTAAAAAATATCATATATATTCTATTACTTGTCAAACTATATGTAAAACCGAAAAAAAAAATCTTTTTTTTATATATTTTCTCGCCTAATTTCATGATAAAAAATATAAAAATAAATTATTTATATAAAAAGGGAACAATTACCATTTAAGAACATATAGAAACCGAAATCCAATAATAATTACAAAAAAAAAAAAAGAATGCTACCATGAAGGAAAGTTCCATTAGCCCAACCCTTAAAAAAAAAAAAAAAAAAAAAAAGCCGAGTCATAAAAGTGTGTGTGTATATATATATATAACACACACATAACCATTAGGGAGTCACATGCTCTACCAACTACCCTTTCAAGCAATAAAGGGGAGGTCGAAGAACCGTGCTTGCCATCATGAGTCCTAAACGGCTCAACCCTCGAAAAAAAAAAAAAAAAAGGCCATCATGGAGTCCAAAACAACCTAGCCCTTAAAGTCCAAAAACGACTCGACCCAAAAAAAAAGGCTAGGTTTTTTTTTTTAATCTTTTGAAGAGGAGACAACTACCTTGCAATCAATCAATACATAGATTTCACAATAACCAAAATCAAAAAAGATCAAACGAGCAATTATGATTCTAAAAAATGCTAAAACAGAAAGATTTGTTGAAAATAAGAGTTCATACAACATTAGAGGAGAGATAGTTATTCTAAAAAATTAGTAAAGAAAGATGCAAGTAGAGATACAAAGAAAACTGAAAATAAAATGTAAATGTATAAAAGTAAATGGAAAAAAGGAAATATAAATTGAAATTTATCTTCTTCTTCTTTTTGTTTGAATTTCTATTGTTAATTCATTCTATTAGGTATTAATGTGTACGATATCTTGTGACAAGTAACAAAAGTGACTCCAACATAAAAAAAAAATTATGAAAAATTAGGAAAATTGGAAATTAAATTTAAAAATTAAAAAAAAAAACAAAAGAAAATTTAGATGGATAGATTTATTAAGAAATTTCAACACGAAAATGAAATGTAAACTACGGAGTAGTAAATCTACTTGGCATTACAAACTAAAACTATGCCCACTACTCATGAAACTTAAAAAAAAAATGAAATTAAAAAAAAAATTGTTATCAAACGAAAAAAAAAGGGTGACTTTATCTATTCAATTTAGATCAATATATACATGACACCAATTTGATTCAATCTCAAAATCTACATTTTTGTCAAACTCACCAACATCAAATCCGCACTTAACAAACATCTCAGTAGATAACATATTATATTAACAATAGATGTTTAAATAATAAAAAATCAATAAATAAAATAGGTAAAATTAAAAGTGAGATAATAATAATAATATTGGACATCAAATATGTAGCTTTCTCTCTCATAATTTTTTTTCATCAGGACCTACTATTTGTCATGTGCCATGAGATAATGGACACCTTACCACCTAACACAATAAATTAAAAACAGTTACTAAATTATAGAAAAAAAAAAAATTAATATCTCAAGTTCAACAAATAAGCAGGTTTCTCTACCACTCTCAAAAGCAAAAATTACACATAAAAACTTCATTTACCACGGTTTCATTCCTCAGCAATTCTCAAATAACATATCAAGGATGCAACTCTCTCTCTCAAAATACTTTTTTTATATCTCAACATACTTTTTAATGGGCTAATAGTTTTAGGGGTTTTTCTACTCTCTATTTCTTTTTCATTGTATTTCTTTATTTTTTTCATCTTATTTTCGCCTCTTTATGTTCGATTTTTTTCTTAAGTTCGTCATTCAATTAGTTTTTTGAGCTAATAATATTAAATCGTATTGTTATCTTTATAGAATTGCAACGTGTGTCAATCTTTTTTTTTTTTGTCTTAATCTGATTCTTCTATTTTTTATTCAAAGTATCATTAATTGGTTTAAATTTATCTATAGTAAGCAATTTTGAGTATAAAATGAAATGTTTCTAGTATTATTTTTAATTGTCAATGTACTATAAATACTATTCAAAAATTTAAAAATTTAACTAAAATTTTCTTAATATTTAAGAAAAATATTTTATTTTATATTCAAAATAATTTTAATACTTTTAGCTTAAAAAGTTAACAAAAGTACGAATTTAAAACAGGAACTAAAGTGAAAGAAAGAGTAAAGAGATCCGTGCCAATATCAACCTATTTTCTAATAAATTTTTTTCTCATTTTTATGATAAAAATGCCCTTCAAAATTAAATATAAAATCTTGAATTTAATTTTGGAAAAAAAAAAAACTTTGAAACGATTCTGTTATAGACATACCATCAATTGCGCTGATTGGCACCAAGTATTTGCATGTGTATTGATGTGGTCCTGGTGGTTCTTTACCAAATTTGCATGCCTCTGGTTCTCTGCCAAGTAGCGTCATTTATTACCAAATATTTGGTGCCCATTTCATTGGATCCGCGTGCGTTTCTGTTTTTACTGCATGATGAACTATGTATATCCTAAATTCGGGTGGGTCAGGAGTTTACCCAACTAGGTATTTTATTTTTATTTTTTTAATACATATATAATTTTGGACTTTTTTTTATATATATAAGCGATTTTATTTCATGGTGTGTGATTTTTGGATGAAGATTTATTAATTTCATGCTTTATGATAGCAACAATTAAATTTCATGCTTTAGTTTTTAGGATGTGATTTTATATGATTATAATAACGATTTCTTTTAAAAAAATAAAAAAATAAAAAACCTAGGTCAAGATGTGTATCCAATGGGTGAATAAAACCCTCCATATCTCAATAGGATTGAATGCACGGGTGGGTGTAGATGCACCAAAAACCTAGTCTAGATTCATTACCATTCCTAATTCTGCAAAGGTTTTCCCCTAACTTCTTATAGAAAGATTTAATTAGCAACAAAGTAAGTGCAGAAAATTAATTATGAAAGTGATTTTTTTAATCTTATTGATCCTTTATCTTTTAAAAATTACCAACTTATCTCAAAATTTTACTACATATATACATATTAATGTGATTGATAAATCACTTGTAGCTGTTAGATAATAAAGAATATAACGATGAGAATAAGAATGAAAGTTTTATTTTCAAATTGTACCTATTTAGTTAAAAAGAATGAAGTAGTAATGAGAATGAAAATTTACATACAAATTTATTTCAATATAAGATATGGGGGATAAAAATAAAAAATGAGAATGAATTTTTTTTAAAAAATAACTATATATTCTATTTATTTATTGTCTATTAACTACTTTTATCACAACCACGACAACCACCATCATCACAACCGCCACCGCCGCCGTCATCATTATCACTACCACCACCACCACTACAGACCACCTGTTGGATTATTTTTTATAAAATAGTTTTTAATTCAACACATGGTACATTAAAAATGAACGGTTACAACGGTTTCACAACATTTATATTATTTAATTAATAATTACATGGTACATTAATTGGTTGCAACATGTTAAAAATTCCCATTTATTTTCAATGTCATTACTGACATGATTTAAATTCATTCTTAACGTTTGTTAGCCATAAATTTTCCTTAAAAGTGCAAATTGAATTCCAACTAACAGCTCTTATTTTTCAGCTATATATGTATATGAGTCATTGCCACCATTTAACAACACAATAATTCTCACATGGTGTAGAGAGAAAAAATAACTGCATTTTTTCTTGCTTTGGTGAGAGAGTGATATATATAGCAATCTTATATGTTGCTTAGATATAAATAATTCTTTTATTTTGTAATTTTTATCATCGTATCAAAAGCCATATTGTTTTATTTTATTTGAGTAAGAGTGGTGCTAATATATTTAGAGTTTCAAGTCTTACAAATAGTATAAATTTATTAAGACATAACAAGGTGGTCGAGCTTGTTGTATCCTTGAGATGACATGTAATATATTCTTTATCCGTTGTATCGGATAAATTCTGCGGATGGCACGTATCGTCTCAAGAAAGCAATCCGATTGTGCCTTAAGTCGGTCATCTAAAACTTATGATAAAATTATTTTGATGTTTATACTCGCAAAATATGGTAATGTGATTTTAATCATTAATTTTTCTAATGATCAAGGTAAAATGTTTCAATTCTTTATTTATTTTAATTTACAAAGAAATTTATTTATTTATTGTGTAAATTTTATTGATTAATTATGTTCCTTTTGTGTGCTCGGAATACCACCACCACCCCCACCATTAGAACCAACATTGCCATAATCACCACTACCACCATCATTTTTATTATTTTTACAATCATTATAATTTGATAAAATTATTTTTTTTAATCATTATTTTTATTTATATAAAAAATCAGATATTAAAAAATTTGAATTGTATTCTCATTCCTTATTAATATTTCAAACACAATATGAATACTATTCCGATTTCTTAATTTTCATTTCGATTTTTGCATTCTCATTCTAGACCTTTCATTCCCGATAACTAAAAGATACCAATTTGTTTTTATTCTCTTCTTCACTGCCATTTAATTCCTTGCGGTAAGGTTTCCCATTATTTCTCTACGAGTACATGATCAACGCTTTTTAGATAAATTTTTGAAGAGTACTGAGAACATTGATTATTTATCTAGCTAAAAAATGGAAGCACTGTTTTTTTTTCCTAAGAAAATTAAAATAGCAATCCAATGAACTTAGAGATAAAACCATATATACTTTTTTCCCAACAAATTATACTATTATTCAGATATTCTCGTATTTAAATCTGCAATTATTTGGGACATCTCCCGGAACTTAGAGATAAAACAAAGTTTATTACATCGGCAAAATATGCTTTAAATGCCGCAAGTCTTTTTGGTTTTAATGAGAAGCAAAAAAAAAAAAAAACATGAACTGTGGTTGCTTGCTTTAGTTAAGAGTCATAGGATTTGGATACAATATCCTTCTGACAGAATGGAGCTCGGCCGATGCAAAGAATAATGACCATTTCCCACACCAGTGCTTTCGATCGCAACTAGTTACAAAGTTTCTTGAATTAACCATCTTTTCAACATGGCCAAACATTCAGCAGGTCTGAACTCTGGAGCTGTGTGTCCTCCTCCCTGCAAAATGACCAAATAATGAAGTAGAAAGAAGTTTGCTAGAGTTTAATACTATAAAAATTATCTAAGCAGCAGATAAAATGGAGAATTTCCAAATCCCTTACCTTGACTGTCGCAAATACCAATTGATTAGAGTAAGTCCTCGTGTACCTGCTCAATATATCAGATATCCAAACCACTCATTTTTTTTTCTCCTTTAAAAGTAGGCTCTTTTTTACAAATTACCAAGAGCTAGAGAAGAATTAAAGATACCAGTAAATCAAAAACTAAGATACATTTGAAGGACATACCCTGCAACTTGACCTTGAAAGTGCCATGGACGCCAGTCATCGATAAGAGAGTAGTTTAAAGATCTTATCCATGCTTGAGTTCCCAAAAATGGTATCCTCATGTCATGATCGCCACTGTTCAATGCAAGGGGAGACCATTTCAACAGAAACCAAAAAAGAAAAAAAAAAAAAAGGCTCCCACTGTTTCAATGTAATTAAATACTACATCAAACTGTGAGGGAAAAGCAGAAAAAGACCATACAGAAATCGACATCAATGGACTAAAAATGCAGTCAACTTACCTGTAGATTAATCTGCGGTAACCTTTATTCCCAAGATCTATATGATACTTGATGCTGCTCTTAATTTGGTTTTTGTATGATTTATAATTGCATCGGTGCCATGTCCCTATACTTCCCTGCACCAAAACGGAGTTGCATTATCCTCTTGCTACAGATTTATTCCTACTTCCTAGTGAGATCTTATTCCCCTCTCCATCTCATACCTCCCGTATATGCAGTGCTTTCCGGACATTATTGTCATTGGCCCAATAACTTGCCAGGACAAATCCATAATCCTACAGGCATAAAGAAAAATTTAAAAACGAAGGAAGAACCAGAAAACAAGGTAAAGATCAAAGGTGGAGTGTTTTGTTTCCAAAACAAACAAAAGAATCTGTCACAATATTAATAACTTCATAAATAGTAATTTTCCTGTGCTTGTTTGATTTCTCCTGATCTACTGTCGGCATTTTATTTTATACACTTAGTGATCCATTTTATCTTACCTGGTGACAAGCTAGCTAGTTAAATATTTGGTGCTATAAAGATTATGGAGTTCTGTCTTAGCAATTTCTTTTCGTTGCATGTATATATATTGCATATATATGAGAAGAAAGAGAAGAGGGAATTACACGACAACCAATCGTATCAGGAAAATCAAGTTCCAAATGGAGGAACTCTAGAGGGTTCTCGTTGAGAGATCTTCTTCTACCAAACATCTCTACTGGGCGGGGAGAAACATAAATACACTTTGGTTCCAAAATATGCGATTCTTTAATTCCTGAAATGCACTGAGAAAAGGAATGGCACAACATGCATTAACACCGTATTCTATATATCTACATGCGTGTTGTAATAATGATCCAGAAAAAAAGAAAAAAAGAAAAAAAAACATGAAGGGGACGTTCCCCCAAATTGTATGGCTGATTACCTTATCAAAAGCCTCTACATTTTTCAAACACTCTACATTGCTTGAGTCGATTTTTTGATATTCTCCTCCACAACTTTTCTTCAATGACTGAAACAATTTGTGAGACTTGACCAGTTAGACGTAACTCCAAAGTCCAAAGTCCAAACTCCAAACTCCAAACTCCAAACTAGCTAGTAAAGTAAGACATAATACCAAAATGTTGCAGAATGGATCATCACCTCATAGAGTTCATCAGAAATAAGGCCCATTCCATGAGCATAAGGTATCTTCGAGTTAAGGTCAAAAGTAGAATTAGTAACAGGGTTCCCAAGTACGTATCCCTGAAACCGTTCAAATTAAACCACCACTTAAGTAGCAAATCTTATATGGAAGCATGCATGCAACATATATATATATATATTTTCTGGTTCTGATGCTCTTTCTTATGTTATATAACAAATGTCGTTTTCCCAAATCACCTTGAACTTACCATTAACATTTATAGATGCCAGACCTTCAAATTAAAATTTTCAGATTGATTTTTGTTAAGTAACATGTTTCATATTGAATTCAAATTAATGTTTATTAAAAAACACATCGAATGAATAAATAATAAACGAGTAATATATAAAATTAAAAAGAATCACTTATAATCATATTTAAGATTTTTTTTTTACGGAATCTAATTTTATTTATCAAATATGATAAAAAATTTAAATGGAATTTAATCTCAAATTAAGGATGTCTATTAAGAACCGTGCATTTTATGGACCAATTAAGTAGCATTATCCTAAACAAAACATAACTGTCATTGACATCATCTTTTTGTACAAATAAGAGAGAATAATGGAATAAGTAATTAGAACCTTGATATTTATTGGTGGTTTGATACCCTCATCGTTCCCTGCAGCCATTGAACATATAGATTTGGATCATTTCAAACAAATTAATATATATATATATATATATATATATATTAAATTATCCCTTAGTCTCTGGTTTTGAATGCGGTTATAACTTAGTCCCTCAATAATGAAAACCTATACTTTAGTCCCTTAACTCCTGCTGTCCTTGTTAGATTAAAACACGTGTTATGGTTTTTATTTTCTAAATCTTATGTGTTCTTTATCAGTCTAGATTCTCAAAGAAAAACCAACATAGTAGAAGTTTAAAGAAAAACTGAAATGTTTTAATAAGATAACATTTAACCAGAGTCCAGGGACTAAGTGATAATTTTTTAAAATATGAGAGGCTAAGTTATAACTATATTCAAAATTAATGGACTAAAATGTAATTTACTTAAAAAATAAAATAAAAGGCAGTTATATGCTGCACATAGTTCTTCCTCGACAAATTTTATAATAATCTAGGAGTAACTAGTGACATGCACAGTAGTTATTCCATGAACATACTTGGAAGAAAGAGATAGACACAAAAAAAACAAAAGAGAAAAATAGGAAAGAGAAAATTAAAAAAAAAAATTTGAGTAAATGTGCAAATCATTTTATCACTTTTGGTGGATCCGGATGTAATTTATACGTCTATCTCTCTCCTCCAAGTGGATTCATGTAGTAATTACTATACATGTCACTAGTTACTCCTCGAGTATTATAAAATTTTTCGTTCTTCCTCTTCCTCTTGGTATTTGACATTAATTAAAAACATTTCGAACAAGAAAATAAAGGAGAAAAAAAAAAACTATGCAAGTAGGGATTTGTCATCTGACCTTCAGAAATCATTTGAACCATAGCCGGAATGATCAGGCCAGTGTAGGACTCACCGACAACATAGACTGGATTTGAGAGGAATTCTTGATGATCCATTAGCCACTGTGTTATGCAATCAAGATACGAAGAACCGAAATGACAACATCAATCAAAATTAATCTCGTAAAAATCAATTTACAGATTGTGCCCATCCACCGTAAAAAACTTGTATACCTTCCGAAGAAATTGGGCACCTTGCGAAACTTGTTCGAAGTCACCTCTCTGTGAAGCAAGTGGGGTTCTTGCATAGGAGAATCCAGTGCCCACAGGCATATCTATATATATTATGCTGGCAACCTGAAAATCAATTAATCACCAGCGCAGCCATACATAAGATGGTAAACAATGTATTTAATTTCTAACCTATGCGATTCCTGTTTGGCAGAAAATACGATCACCTGTGTCCATGAGTATGGATTCAAGACAAATGTAGGTAAGCTCCCATTATACTCCTTCATCTCAAAATGTATCGGACCTGCATATATATATATATATATATGATCAGGAATTCATGAAATTTCAATTGTCTTGACAAACTTAATATATATCTAGCTAATTGTTCGGATTAGTGATTGTCCATTGCAATTGGAAAAAGTAATGCCTCAAAAAGAATTTGAAGATCCAGTACTTGGTAAATATGGCTTAAACTTGTAGTCCAATTGAGGGAGCCGCAGTTAGTTCTCTTACCGGTTTCAAAAACAAGACCAGAAAAGGCAGAGCAGCCCGGGCCACCGGTTAGCCAAAGCAAGAGAGGGTCCTCTTCAGCATTCCCTTGGGACTTCATAAAGTAGTAGAAGAGCTGTACATCCTCTTGTTCACCCACACCAACATATCTGATAATTCTAACTTTGATTAATGTTACAAAAGAGGAAGCATGGAGAAATGGAAGGGGGAGATAAAAATCATCTAGAATCGAAAACGTGTAAAGCTCACCCAGTTTCAAGGTGAAAGGGAAGAGGACCATGAAACCCAGGAAGAAACTTAACAGTTGAATGAGAGACTACAACTTGAAACAAAACCTGCAATAGGAAAACAATAAGAAGGCACAGGTTGACCATTGCTATTCTGATATCGATCGACATTGTTTCTTGAGCCGTACACTTGGAATTATATATATTACTTGGAAGAACTAAAATATAGTATTTTGTGGATCATAAATCTTGAGATAGTTTTGTGAGAAATGTTATATTACTCGATGAGTAATTATCAATACTTATTTCATAAGAGAAAGATAGACACAAAAAAGGAAAAGAAATAGAATAGAGAAAATAAAAAAGAAAATGAGAAATTCTATATTGCTCAATGAGTAACTATCAATACTTACTTTATATGAGAGAAATAGACATAAAAAAGGAAAAGAAATAGGATAGAGAAAATTAAAAAAAGAAATGAGAAATTCTATATTACTCAATGGATAACTATCAATACTTACTTTATAAGAGAGAAATAGACACAAAAAAGGAAAAGAAATAGGAGAGAGAAAATTAAAAAAGAAAATTTGAGTCTAATTGAAAATATTCTTATCACTTTTGATGTGTTCTCTTATTTTTTATGTGTCTATCTCTTTCTTAAAAAATGAGCTCATAAAGTAATTATGGTACACTTACAATAGTTACTCTACTAGTGTTTTAAAATTTCTCATTACAAGAAATTTAATATTACTCAAGGAGCATTTTAAAATTTTTTCTTGTGAGAAATTTAATATTACTCAATGCATAACTATCAATACTTAATCAATAACGAACGGATAGACAAATAATACTAATAATACTAATAATAATAATAATCTTATCCATAAAAGAGTGATAGACAAATAATAATAGTAATCTTATAAGAGAGAGAATTTTTTTTTTTTTAAAAGGAAATTTGAGCCTAAATGAAAATCTTATTATCACTTTTGATGGATTTAGATGTGATTTTTTTTATGTGTCTATCTTTCTCTTCAAAAGTGAGCTCACAGAGTAACTATTATACAATTTCATGTTGGGAGAAATTTTATATTACTCATTGAGTAACTATTAATACTTACTCCATAGATAGATAAAAAAAAAAAAAATAGAAGAGCAAAAATTAAAAAAAAATTAAGCTTATGCGAAAATTTTCTTATTACTTTTGTTGGGTCCGGATGTGATTATCTTTTTTTTTTTTTTATGTGCTTATTTCTTTCTTCAAAAGTAGATCTACAAAGTAACCATTGTACACTTAAAATAGTTACTCCCGAAGTATCTTATAACTTTTCGTTGTGAGAAAGTATATATTACTCAAAGAGTAACTACCAATGCTTACTCTATAAGAGAGAGAGAGAGAGAATTAAAAAAAAAAAAGAAATTTGAGCTTAAATGAAAATTTTTTTATCACTTTTGATGGATCCGGATGTAAATCTTTCTCTTTTGTTTTTTTGTATTTATCTTTCTCTTTAAAAGTGGACCCATAAAGTAATTATTGTATACTTACAATAGTTACTCTTGAGCATTTTAAAATTTTTCATGGTGAGAAATTTTATATTACTCAATGAGTGACTATCAATACTTACTCTATAAGAGAGAGATAGACGCAAAAGAGAGAGAAGGAAACATGAGCAAAAAAATTAGAAAAAAGAAATTTTAGCCTCGGTGAAAATATTTTTACCACTTTTGTTTGTTCTAAATGTGATTTTTTTTATGTGTCTATCTCGTTCTTCAAAAGTAGCCCTATAGGAGAAATTTTAAAATACTCTAAAAGTAACTATTATAAGCCTATTTTTGAAGAGAGAGATAGACGCATAAAAAAAAATTAACATTCAAATATACTAAAAGTGATAAGAAGATTTCCCCCTAGGCTTCATTTTTCTTATTTAATTCTCTCTCTCTCTCTCTCTCTCTCTTTCTCTCATGGAGAACGTATTGGTAGTTATTCCTTGGGTAATATAAAATTTCTCGCAACAAAAACTTTTAAAATACTCTAGGAGTAACTATAATAAGTATACAATAATTACTCTATATGCTTATTTTTGAAGGGAGATAGACATATATATATATATAAAATCACATTTTTATCCACCAAAAGTGATAAGATTTTCACTTAGGCTTAAATTTCCTTTTTTATTTTTCTTCCTCCTATTTTTCTCTTTTTTGTGTCTATATCTCTTATGAAGTAAATATTGATAGTTATTCCTTGAGTAATATAAAATTTCTCACAACGAGAAATTTACGAGAAATTTTAAAGTACTTTAGGAGTGACTATTATAAGTGTATAATCGTTACTCTATGAGTCTACTTTTGAAGAGAGATAGACACATAAAAAGAAACAGAATTACATCCGGATCTACCAAAGTGATAAGAAGATTTTCACTCAAGATCATTTTTTTTTTAATTTTCTCTTTTTTTTTTTTTTTTTTATGTTTATCTCTCTTATTAAGTATTGATAGTTACTCTTTGAGTAATATAAAATTTCTCACAACAATAATCTTAAAATACTCCAGGAGTAATTATTATAAATGTACAATAATTACTTGTAAACGTACAATAGTTACTCTATGAGTCTACTTTTAAAGAGATAGATAGACATATTAAAAAAAAAGAATTATATCCGGATCCACTAAAAGTAATAAGAAGATTTTTACTTAAGCTCAAAATTTTCTTTTTAATAAATAAATAAATAAATATATATATATATATATATATATATATATATATATATATATATATATATATATATGTGTCTATCCCTCTCTTATGAAGTAAGTGTTGGTAGTTACTCTTTGAGTAATATAAATTTCTTCACAAAGAAAAATTTTAAAATACTCTAGGTGTAATTATTATAGGTGTACAATAAAGAAATTTTATATTGCTCAAGAAGTAACTACCAATATTTAATCCATAAGAGAGATAGATACAAAAAAAGAAAAATGTGAGAATTAGGAGAAATAAAATTGAAAAAGAAAAATCACTTTTAGTGGGTCTAGATGTAATTCTCTTCTTTTTTTTATGTGTCTACCTCTCTCCTCAAAATTGGACTCATAGAGTAACTATTATATACTTACAGTAGTTATTATTAAAGTATTTTAAAATTTCTTGTTGCAAGAAATTTTATATTACTCGAGGAGTAACTACTAATACTTATTCTATAAGAGAGCGATTGATACAAAAAAATAAAGAGAAATAGGAGAGAGAAAATTAAAAAAAAGTAGAAGAAATTTCAGCCTAAATGAAAATCTTATTATCACTTTTGATATATCGGAATGTAATTTTTTTAAAAAAAAGTAGACCCATTTGATAATTATTATGCACTTACAATAGTTACTTTTTGACTATTTTAAAAATTTTCATTGCAAAAAAAATTATATTGCTCAAAATATAACAATCAATACTTACTCCATAAGAGAGAAATAGATACGAAAGAGAGAGAAATAGGAGATAAAAAAAATTAGAAAAGGAAATTAAAGTATAAAAAATTAGAAAAGGAAATTAAAGTCTAAGTAAAGAATTTCTTATAACTTTTGATGGGCCCATATGATTTTTTTTCTTAATTTGTCTCTCTCTCTCTCTCTCCTTAAAAGTGGATCTATAAAGTAACACTTATATACTTATAATAGTTACTCCTTGATGAATTTAAAATTTCTCATTATGAAATATTTTATATTATTTAAGAAATAACTATCAATACTTACTCCATATGAAAAAGATAGAAAAAAAATTAAAAAAATTAAGCCTAAGTGAAAATCTTATTATTACTTTTGGTGGATCCAAGTGTGATTCTTTTTTTATTTGTCTATCTCTCTCTTTAAAGGTAAACTCATAGAGTAACTATTGTACTCTTACAATAGTTACTCTTAGAGTATTTTAAAATTTCTCGTTTCAAAATTTTTGATGTTACTCAAAGAGTAACTATCAATACTTACTCCATAAGAGAGATATAACCACCAAAGAGAGAGAAAATAAAAAAATAATTTCAAGTGAAATTCTTCTTATCATTTTTAGTGGATTCGAATGTGATTCTCTTTCTCTCTTCAAAAATAGGCTTAAAGAGTAAGTATTGTAGACTTACAATAGTTACTTTTGGAGTATTTTAAAAAAAAAAATTTGAGAAGTTTTGTATTACTCAAGGTGTAGATACCAATACTTATACCATAAAAGAGAGATAATATAAAAAAGAGAAAATTAAAAAAGAAAATTTAAGTTCAACTGAAAATCTTCTTATCATTTTTTTGAGAATGTGGATGTGGTTCTTTTTTTTATTTATATGTCTATCTTTCTTTTTAAAAATCAATCTCAAGAGTAGCTATATATACAATTACAATAGTTACTCCTAAAGTATTTTAAAATTTCTCACTATGAGAAATTTTAAATTACTCAAGGAGTAACCACCAATGCTTACTCCATAAGAAAGAGATAGATAATAGAGAGAGAGAGAGAGAGAGAACTTTACAAATGAAAATTGAGTATAATCATGACATGTCGTACCACCAACAAATTAGTTATTTATTTTTTTGCTCACGGAACCCAACCTTAAGGGTGTAGATAGGGCAAGCAAGGGTCGAACTCACGGAAAAATGACTTAATTAATGATTTCAATGTCCGATTGTTTTGAAGTGCAAAAGAATTAAAATTGGGAGTTTGTGTTTGTTGTGATTTATAAGCAATAAAAAATAAATAAAAATAACAACAATAGGGAAAGACATTGGTTGAAGTTCGGTATCCACTTTTGGTTTAGTTGTTGATCATCGATTCGGTTATTAACTTATCCTTAACATGAATATTCACCGTAGGATAACAATATGACAATATATATGTTGTCCTTAATCTTTCCTTTGTGATTTGTTAACCAAATAGACGTTACTTGATTAATTCCCAAGCTATTGAAGAATCTACTAGATGCTAGATAGATTTAATCTAATAATAGCATTAAAGTAAAGAAAGACATGTGAAGCTAAACTATTCTTCTAGATGCTAGAAAGATGTAATCTAGTTCTATATTTTTTAAGGCATTAAACTAAAACACATTTATAATCATTAATCCCTAGTTACTACCTGGGCAAGTTTAAACAAGTAATTTTACGGACTTGAATACTTAGCTAGCAATATATTATGATGATCATAGAACT